AATACACAGTATGTGGTTTTTAAAATTAGCTAAATAATTTTAACTAAAACATATTTGTACTCGGATCTATCAAATATAATGGTAAATCGTTGTAATTTAGTACAGTTACTGTTGCAAATCCGGATACTTAAATTTTACATAGATGTAAATTGTATAATTAACCAATGTTATAGCATACAACAATTTTTTAGTTATACTTATAGACTATAAGTTATAGTATAACAACAATATAGTGTTACAATTTAATTGTGGTTATTGTATGCTTTATTTATACCTATGGTATATAAGATTTGTTACACAATTCATGTGTTACTTTTAATCATGTACCATCTGCGTTATGTAAGCATTCGTCTTTAAAAATTGCTTGATAATTATTCTAGCGACATTTACTATACTTGCAATAAAATAAATTGATTTATCATGTTAATTTGGCAATAATTACAATACGTTGTAAAATTTTAAAATAATCAACAAAAATTTGTAAACATGATTAGAATGTCTAGATAGGGTGGCCAGATTAATTTAGCCGAATTCTGGATTTTGACTATAAATCTATACTATAATCCTGGATTCCTGGACTTTTATCTACTTTGAGTACATTTGTCCTGGACACCTTCATAGACGTAATGTTTAAAATATTTTGCAAATTCTGGACATACTACTTAATTTCTGGACAATCCAAACCATTTCTAAACATCTGGTCACCCTATGTCTAAATAGAATTCAACACGTTAATTTTATTTATACCTAATTTTGGCATTTACTATTCAATCAATGTGTTATTGTAAATATATTGCAAAAAAATATGTTATTAATAAAATTTACTTGATAATTTTAATTAACAAAAAATAATATAATTTTACTACAGTATTGTATTTACTAATAATATTAGAAACTATAGACTCGTTAAGCAAGATATAAATAATTATAAAATATTCTTGATAACTTTGTTTACAAATGAATGCTATCATCACATTTCTAGATTTAATTGTGATTGTTTTTTAATTTAATTTAATCAACTGGATACAACTATATTTTAGTATATTGTTTATAATAAAAATTTAAACAAGGAAAATGCATTAATTATAAATTTATATGTTTTATTATCAGTAATTCAAATGAAATTAATACAAATTACATGCAAAATAAATCAAAAACATTTTAATTTTGATAAGTAGTCAATGTTATAAAGTGTTAAATATAAAACATTGCTATTATTTGCAGATTATGTCACCGCCACCGACGCCACCACCCGCTAAACTATCACCAATTCCACCAATTTGAGCTAGGTGTCGCTACAGGTGCCGGTGTTGCTGCCGGTGTTGCTGGTGTTGCCGGTGTCGCTGCCGTTGCCGGTGTCGCTGCCGTTGCCGGTGTTGCTGGTGTTGCCGGTGTCGCTACCGGTGCCGGTGTTGCAGGTGTTGCAGGTGTTGCAGGTGTTGCCGGTGTCGCTGCCGTTGCCCCCTGTCCATTGACCAGTTGATTGTGGACCACAAACGCCGCAAACAATAACATTGAAAACATGATCACTATTTTTCCCATAATTAAAATTGTATATTTAAATTATAATTACAATTATATAAATATTTTATTAATATCCAATTGTGCGAAATGTTGTCTCTATTTATACTTTATTTATACCGCTATTTGATATGCAATTTATTCGGTTTTGTCAACATGTTTTTCAATATATGTAACTTTTAAATGTGCTTAATAATTTCAATTAATAAATAATAGTACCCGGATCTATAAAATATATTAGCAAATAATATTATTATAGTACAGTTACGGTTATTGTTGTGCCATAGTTATAGCTTGTATAATTAGAGATTTAATTAACCGATGTGGTTTTACCAATAGCTAACAAATGTTTTTGGTTATAATTATAGTCTATAGTATCACATGAATTAAAAATTTAAACATTTGCATTTATCTTATTATTTAAAATATTGGTTTATTCCATTTAAGTTAATTATGGCTAATATATTTTATTATACATTTATGTAGACCACTGAACATTTGAAATACAATTGATGATATCTACACTGTAGATGTAGATTCTACATTATACAAAATCAATTGTAATTGTTATATTAGCATATTGGATTTTGTCATAAAAATCATAAATCATAAACATAATAAACATGTTTACAAAAATGTTATTATTAAAATGATTTTAAAATTTCACAACGTACTGTATATTGCCAAATTAACATGATAAATCAATTTATTTTATTAGTACAAGTAAAGATAAATAAATTTTACTTTACAATAAATTTCGCCAGAATAATTATCAAGCATAATTTAAAGATGAATACTTACATAACGCACACAGTACATGATTAAAAGTAACACATAGATCGTATTTTAAAATATATTTTTAAAATTAATTCTTATTCTAATAGTTCATAATTAATATTTTATTAAATATATTATTCATAATTAACTTAAATGAAAAATACTAATATATAAAATAATAAGATAAATGCAAATATTTTATTGCGCTATATTTTACTAATTTAAATTAAAAATCAACTTTTATTTAAAAACAAAACATTTAATAAACATACGTAGTAACTAATTAATATGGATTTAATTAAATATTGTTATAACTGCCGATTCGGGCTATGATTGTAAGCCACGACTACAACTAATAAAGTTTTTTTAAATGACAAAAAATTTACATTTTTGTTGTATTAAATTAATTTTAAGTCTAATTTTAAATTAAATGTATTTTGTGCTAATAAAATTTTTATTGTAGATATAATTTAATAGTATTATAGAATAAATTATTACTAGCTTTTTTATTAAATTAAATTTATAAAATATATAATTTTAAATTAAAAAGGCCAATATTTTAAGGCAATAAGACAATTGTGTGCTTTATTTTACTAATTGTAATTTAAAATCCCCTTTTATTAAAAAAAACACACGTAGCAACAATTATGTTGCTACTACTCTAACAGTGGGTTCTAACAGATACCACCGCCCCAAGTGCCTCCTCCGCCAGCGCCTCCGCCTCCGCCGCCTCCTCCGACAGCACCCCCTCCGCTAACATTTAGCGGACAGATACGAGACGCGGGTAACTGTGCCGGTGCTGGAGCCGGGGCTGGAGCTGGAGCTGGAGCTGGTGCTGGTGCTGTAGTTGGACCCAGGCCATTCGCAAGTTGTTTATTGTGAACCATAAGCCCCGCAAACAATAGCACTGAAAATATAATTACAATTTTCTGCATAATTATTATCGTGTGTTTGAATTGAGATAATAATTACACTCGAATTCAATTGCTATTAACTCAGGAGCAAATGCTTTTTACTTACGGTCAAATTATTTTTGCGTTCAGTCTATTCATTATTACATCAATTAGTGTTGTATGCAATCAATGCGACGTTTCATTCGATTGTTGTCGCAGTTAGCGTGACCAACCGTCCTATATTACAAAGGACAGTCCTATATTTGAGCTGTTCGGTTAGTGTCCTATGTAGTGGTTAAATAGGACTATTGAATGTCCTATTTTAATTTTTAATAAAAGTTAAAACAATAGCGTGACCAACCGTCCTATATTACAAAGGACAGTCCTATATTTGAGCTGTTCGGTTAGTGTCCTATGTAGGGGTTAAATAGGACTATTGAATGTCCTATTTTAATTTTTAATAAAAGTTAAAACAATTTTAACCCAATTTAGCTTAATTTTTAAAAATGTTAATAATAATTATATATTTTACAAATTATTGAATAATTAAACAAAATACAAAATAGAGGACAATTATTTGAATACATTAAACTCCTTTTGTATACAGTATACATTACAAACAATGTGACAAGCAATATACATGCTGTTTTGTCAATTACTTTTTAACTTTTGGAGATGATCCAATTTTGTAAAAATTATATAAAAGTGTCATGAACGCTAGTTCTTTTGAAACGCTGGTCTTAGAAAATGCTGTTATTAAATTAATAAAACTGAATAATTAACGAATAAGCATTACCCTTAGACATAGGACAACCATATACCTAACATTAATCCACAAGATTAGGATTTTTTTATTGTAACTTATTTTAATACGGATTGCAATTAATTCAAAATGTATGTTTAAACAATCAGAATTTGCTTGATTCTGTATTACAAAAAATAAATTTAAATAAATAACAGTGTAAAAATATAACAGTAAAATATTGTTAATAAAATAATCAATAACAACGTGTGTCCTATATTTGTCCTTTATTTCATTATCAAATATAGTAAAATGTCCTGTTTCCAAAAATTATGAGTTGGTCACGCTAGTCGCAGTGCTTCAAATACAACACTCACTGCTGTAATAATGAATAGACTGAACGCAAAAATGATTTGACCGTAAGTAAAATTATTTGCTCCTAAGTTAATAGCAATTGAATTCGAGTGTATGTAATGATTTTGTATTACTATCTAATTGTAGTGTAATGTCGGCTCTATTTATACCTAGTGAATATAAGATTTGTTACACAATACTAGGGAAACCGTGTGGAGACGTTTTGGAGACTTTTATTTATTGTTTTGAGCGCAATAATGACTATTATAGCTATTTGTTCATTTTAAAGCATTAGTTGTGCCATGATTCTCTGACTAGTTTATGGTTTTTATGTATAGTCTGCATATTATATGACTCATTTTTTGGTTTCCCTACAGAATACTTACTTTTAATCATGTACTACAGTCCGAGAAATAGCTATAACATTTACTATATTTAGCTCACAATTAGTAAATTATGATGTTTAATTAAAAACAATTTCTTATTTTATAGTATAATTAGTTTAAATATACAAAATAAATTGTAAATTTTTGCAAAAAATGCCATAGAATTAATTTAACTCAATATAATTAAGAAATGGGTAGGAAATATTTATAACAACTAATCGGTTATCGGGTAATTTGCGGCCAAAGAATTTACCGATTTATATTAAATTTTCGAGAATTTGCTTGTAACATATATGTAAAAAGTTTCTAATATTTAAATTGGTAAATTTAGCCACGGGTGGCCATCGCCACCATTTGGTTGGCGATCGGGTGCGAGGCGTTGGATATAAGGGGCCGGTCGGTGAACATGTGAAAGTCTTTCACCAGGATCTGTTTGATGAGCACCGGGTCCGCTATTTGCAGTAGTGGTTTGTTGCCATCGAATATACTGTATTAGTTGAGCAAAATAATTAAATTTGTTAGACTGTAATTTTGTTTCTAGCTAGAATTGGACCTTCTTGTTTTTCAATTGTTAATTTATAATATAATATGTTTATTATAATTAATTAAATTTTTTAATAGTCCTGTGATGTTTTAAAACATAAAATTGATTGAATTTTTAGCAATTTTTTTGTGCAATAAATGCAGGTATTATAAATTTTGAGTTGATTACTGTATCTAAAAGACAAATTAATTGTGAAAAATTTAAAAACTAGCAACAGAGCAACAGCAATTCAATCACTATTAATATTTTTAATTCCAATATTATTCTCTAACTTTTTAAAAATATTTTTAAAATGTAATTATTTTTCAATTCTGCATTGTTCTACTGATATTGCACCTATGAATTTATTGTCTTAATACTTATTAGGTCTGTATTTATATCTAATTTCAAATTTAATTTTAAAAAATAATTATAATTTAATTTATATTTGAATTTAATAAGTACTATATTTGTATAACTTATACCCATAATATAAAATAATTGTAATACTTGATTTTCAATGTCACCTTCATTCATATGATAAATTGCAAATTCATTGTGTTTCAAACTGATTTTTAATTAATAAAATAACTTAATATAAAAGTCTAAATTTTTATATTACTAACCCTGTGATTAGGTATATGTTTTAACATGGGTTAACACTTTTACACATGCATAATGTCTATTTTTATGTGACTTTTTTACGTTGTTAACATATATTTATAATGTCACATTCAATTTTGTTCTTGTTCATAATGTTTTATGTGCACATAATAAGCAATGATTTATATATTAAATTGTGAATAGAATCTGAATTAAAGAAACTATCTTAAATTACAAAAATAAAACTAATAGAAAACACACAATAATGTAAACAGCTTAATGTTTAGCAAAACATGTTATCTGATTTAATATATTTATTATTGATAAAAGTTATATATTGATAATTAAATAATTTTATTATTAGTTACTAAGCCCTGTAAATTTACATGTTGTAATTACACATATACCTAACAATAAGGTCCCATTTGTGTAAAATTAGACAAGTGAAAGTTTAATGAGGGTATAATTATAAATATTCTTATAAATAATACATGTACAATAATGATTTTTTGTGCATGGTTTTTTACCAACCATTTAGACAAATGTTTTAAAGTTGGTAAAAGTTTAAATTTAAAATATAAAGTACGCAATGATAGGGGGTTTACTGTACATGAGAATCAAACAATTGATCTAAATGCAACGTAAATAGACATTTACAATTTACTGTATTTGAACATGACATCATTTATTAAATGTATGTTAAAACAAAATAAAATTAATCAACTAGATGTAAAAGTACTACAGTAGAAATGTCTATTAGTATTATAAAATATAATAAAAATGTTGTGTAAATGCAGTGTAATATTTTAATTACAAATGAGTTTTATTTAATAATAGATTAAAAAATTATTACCCAAAAAGTTTGCCATATTTTCTAACTCTTTTGATGTCTAACTTGTCTTTCGATGTGAACAGTAGTTCCCATAGATTGCCAAAAATGATCACTGGTTTTGGCCCATTGACGCCCATCTTGGTGAAATAGTTGAAATTACGCGTGTAATAGCTAGGTGAAAGGGCATTATGAGATAGTTATATAATTTAAAGTAGATATATTTAAAGTTTATAATAATTATAGACAGAAAAAAGTGCGTTTTAGTGCTTTCTTCACAGAAAAACTTAACTTTAGATAAAGTTATGTTTAATTCATTGTTTTGAACACAACTTTAAACATTGAAATTAAGCTACTGTTAAATGCATTGTGTATAAGAGTTAAGAAAATCAATTCAATTTTATTTTTATTTCACACAAAAAATTACTTTTTTTCTGTCTATAATAATAATAATTATTTTACAATATTTACCGGTAAATAACTGTAAAGGCGACGGACAAGGGTAGCCAATACAGTACCCAGTTTTGTGATAATAGATAATTGATCATTCTAGTGTAATTATTATAAAATTAGTTTTGTAAACTAATTAACAAGATAAGTTAAATAACGGAAAACAAGCTTATTTATAAACTCTACAAAATGAAATATAAAAAATAAAATTTTAATTAATCATCGTAATGATTGTTATTTACGTTAATAAATTCGAAACAATAATGATATTTATACTAAAGTATTGATATCATGTGCATATTACATATTACATTTATTAAACTGCATAACTATTTATTCAACAACATTTATATTGAGACTAGACTTATAAACGGAACTTAATTTAAATAATAATATAATTACACAAATAATTTTATTATAATATAATAAAATGCTGGGATCATGGTAGAATATAAAATAAAAAGATCATATCGCCACATCGTAATTTTCTGTAATATTTTTTTGGGAATTTTTAAAATTTGATTAAATAATGAGATATAAATAATGCTTTTTTTAATATTCAATTGTCATTGTTTTTCATTGTCAAATGTTTTACTTTAAATTATAACTTATATTTAAACATTAATTAATTAAACATGAAAGGGGCTAATAATGTGTATATCAAACATGTATTTTAAATGTAACTTTTGAATAAAGCACTTGACTAAAGTTGTTATATAAACTCAATGCTATATTGAATATAACAACTTTATATAACAATATAGTATATTCAGTAGAGTTATGCATAGCGTGACCAACTCATAATTTTTGGAAACAGGACATTTTACTATATTTGACAATGAAATAAAGGACAAATACAGGACACACGTTTTTATTGCTTATTTAATTAACAATAATTTACTGTTATATTTTTACACTGTTATTTATTTAAATTTATTTTTTGTGGTACAGAATCAAGCAAATTCTGATTGTTTAAACATACATT